TATGGCTAGTCGTACTCTCACTTGTAAATAGTCAGAGAGCTTAAATAGATAATCTCCTAGTTAGATTGCAGGCATGGTGGCTAGTGTAGAACTCAGGCAGGCCACTTAAAATAGACAACCAAAAGTTGTACGTGTGGCTAGTTGTATCCTCATCATAATTGTAACATTGTTAATTATCTAATAAAAAGCCACCCGGCTATAGAGGTCACCTTAAACACAAAAAAAAAAAAAAAAAAAAAATTAATTATTAAAGCTTAGACAAGCTTTGGACAATCTTGGACATGTGGACATTGTAGACTTGGACAAGGTTAAAAAAGGCTGTGGACAGCAAAAATGTACAACACTGGTTATAACTATTGGTTCCAAATTGGATATATCTGAAAATTTGTCCCAAATTCCAATTTATACAGTAAGTTACTAAATAAAGATCAAATTTTATATGTTTTATAATAGCTAGACCAAAAAAATACTGTAATTATAACTAGATTGTAACTATATTAAGAATGACTATAATAAGATCTGACTGTATTTTATACATATTTTACATTGCCATCAATATACTGTAATAAAAAATAAAAATAATTATAACTTCAATACTAATACACAATTACTATTTCTTTTATTAGATATTTATCAATAATTGGGGGGAAGTCAATAGAAAAGAGACAAATTTTTTCTAAGTAAAAGTTTTCTTGACTTTAAGCTTAAATATCTTAGCAATTATCTTATTAAATTTAATAAATTTTTTTTTATTTTAATTCTATATAATTTCAAGATTAAAATAAAAAAATTTTTACCAATTTTGATTAAATAGTTGTTAAGATATTTTAATTTAAAAATTAAGAAAAAATTACTAAAAATGATTTGTCCCTTTTCTATTGACTCACTCCCAATTACTATTTTATTTATCAGATATTCATTAGATAACAGTATAAAGCAACAGTTATTAGAAAAGACCAATAAATTAGATTGCTATTGCATTGTATTCAAATAATTATAAAATCCGTTGTTAAGGTTTTGAGAAAACTTACGAACTATATCATTGGATTTAGCTTTAAGCCATAAACATTAGGATATAAGATAATAAATATATACTAGTTTTCATAACGGGAGAATGAAAGACCCAGCGTGTAGAGGTTTGTCTGCACACATGATAATTAATGCATTTCTTATTAAATTTACAACAGGCTTATTATGAAAGATTTGCCACTATATATAAGATAAAATTCTGCAAGAAAAAATTTTGTTAGAGCGTAAAAGTCAAGTTTGTTATATAATTTTTTTACATTACTCTCGAATAATTGGTCAATTATCACATGTGTGAATAAGTTCTCCTATATCTAATAACATTAAAGAGCAGTTTTTTATATTATTTACAAAGCAAGTTATTATTATCTTCAATCTTTTCATTACAGAAAGTGTTCTTTTTTATATATGCACTAGTGTAAAACCTAATCTAAACTAAATGATTCAATTACTAATAATAAGGCAAGAAGAATGGTAGAAAAATATACTAATCAAAAGAAAATAAATAGAAATTATTGGGGAGAGGGCTTTTGAATTTGTCTTCCTATTTTAGCTCTAAGTTGTGAATATGAAAGGGTAATAATATGAGGCTATTATATGGACAGCTTTAATAAAAACAATACAGATTTATAACAAGATCAATTCTGTCTTTCAATCACTATAAAAGGGTTTTTCCTTAATAATATCAATTAAATTTTTAGTTTATTACTTAAATTACCAGTGTTGGCCAATAACCTAAGTTATACCATTTTTTGATATGACCTTTGTCATGTGAATATGGCTTTTTGGTTATAAGTCATATTAGTTACTAATAAAAAAAATTTTCATAAGTTATACTAACCTTTATTATGACTATAAGTTAACATTTTTTGATATATTCTTGGTTTTTGGTTACATGATTATATGAACTTTAATTTAATGAGGACAATATGGGTTTATAACAAGAACAATCCTGTCAACATAAAAGAGTCCTTCTATAATAATATCAGTTAGAATTCTATAACAAGATCAATTCTGTCAATATGAAAGGGTTTTCTATAATAATATTACTACGCATGGGCAGTTATAAATACCCTTCTTTGAATAACAGCAAGCAGTGTAATACAATGCACTGTTTATATGTATAATTATAGAAAATTATATTTGATCTAAAATAAAGCTGTATTTGATTTAAAGTATGATAAATGTTCTTTATAATGTTCTTTATATGACTCAAATTTAGAATTATATTAAATAACACATTAATATCAATTATACATATTTGAATTAAAGAAATCTTTGTAAAAAAAGATTGTATATTAATTAAAGAAATCTTTGTAAAAAAAAAAAATTATATATTAATTAAAGAAATCTTTGTAAAAAAAAAAGATTGTATATTCTTTGTATGATTTAACTGAAGTTTTTAAGTTATGTTCCATTTATATCGAGCATATCTGAATTAAAGAAATCTTTGTAAAAGAAATTATTCTTTTCCATTATATGATAAGTAAAAAATTATAAAAGCAACTTAGCAGAGGATATACCTTATAATTGATCTATACTAGAAAACTTTCCAATTAATCTATATCGAAAAATCTTGTTTATTAAATAGTGCTTTTTTTTTGCTTTTTTTTTATAAAATATTTTCAATATATGCTGGATATGTAACCATTGTAATAAAGAATTTTCTAAACCTTATACTTTGTCACAACATATATCACAAAGACATTCTAGAAACCCTAATAATATATCTATATCAGAACTAACTTCTCAACAACTGTATACTCTTGATGATAATATTTGGAAATTGCCAAAAAATCCTAATGATACATCCACATTAGAATTTTCTCAACAATTGTATACTCTTGATAATATTTGGAATTTGCCAGAAGAATCTGATAATGATCTATTAGTAAATAATATCAAAGTTTTAAAATATGAAATATCAACAAGAATACATCACAATTTTTAACTATTTTTAAATTTAGAACCAAGAAATATTACAAACAATAGATCTAAATTCTTCTGATTTAGAATTTTTTTTGAATCAATTAATAGTAAACAAAACTTATGAATCTTCATCAAGAAATGTTTTAGATTATTCTGAACAAACTTCATTTCCTTTACTCTATCCTCAACCTATTGAAGGTAATAAGTTAAAATTTGAGAATGTGCCAATTGATAATGAAGATTATAAAGGAATATCACTTGAAGATGCTTACAAAGAATTGCATCATCCGGATAAAGTACAATAGCCCAGTGATACTTATTGAGAATTTATGAAGATTACTACTAAATATCATTTTTCAGATAATGCTGCCAATGCTTTTATATATTTTTTTAAAAAATTTTCTAATTTGAAAAAATCACCTTTATCTTCATCAATATGTGCTAGAAAGGAATTTTTGAATAATACAAATATTCAATATACAGCATTTAAAGAAACTTTAATCACAACCTTCCAAGGTGTCGAATATACTGTATGCTCTATTATCAGCCAATAATTCAGGCTATTAAATCATTATTAGTAGTCAATAATATTAATCAAAATCTGGTATTAAAATATGCTAAAAAAAGTGAAACAAGAGACGGTATAAAATCTCGAATATTTGAAGAACAATATAATTGTGATTGGTGGTGGCAAGAAGAATTAAAACTATCAATTAGCGAGCAATTGCTTTTAATAATTTTCTACTCTGATGCTACAACCTTAGATCATATAGGAAAATTATCTAGACACCCAATATTTTTATTCCTTGGCAATATTCCAAACTTTCAAAGAAATAAGCCAGAATAAAAAGCATTAATTGGATACTTACCAATATTAAAAGCAAAAGATTCAAAGATCAAAAATTTGGAAAGTTTTAGAATATTGCAAAGATCTGTTTTTCAGAGATGCTTATCAATTCTTTTAAAGCCTATAATTGATGGACCAATGCTACATTTGGTAGTTCGACAAAACATAATCATATTTATTTCACAAATTTCAGTAATATTAGCTGATATGGTTGAGGCCAATATGATTATGAACATTTATTAGTTATATTCAGCACAAAAATTATGTAATACTTCTTGATATCGAAGGATAATTTGAATGATCTGAATATAAATAATATAAGAAGTTTACTAAAAAATTATCAGAATATAATACAGATGATTAATGCTAGCCAGTCTCATAAAAATTCAATCTATGATAAACCAAATATATTCTGGCAAATAAAGTAATATATAATTGAAATTTTAGCATTAATTATAAAATATACAGCATAACTAACAATATTTCTAATTAATTAGCAATTTTAATATTTATCAAGCAACAGTACCAGATCGAATACATGTATTAGATCTTGGCTTGTTTAAATATATATTAAATTATACAAAAGATCTTTTAACAGATCAATATGGAAACAACATTATTCAAATCTTTGAACAATACTTGGCAGAGATTCCTAGATTTCATGGACTCAAAGTAATGAAACATGGATGTAATATGACACATATAACTGCTGATGACTTGCGAAATATCATGAAGATTATTATTTTTGTTTTTGATAACTTTTATAGCATATACAAAAAGCCAGGAATTAGTAATAAACATTTATGTGAAGTATATTACAAGTTTCTCAAAATGTACTTGGGTACTCGTAAAGACTCCTTTACAAATGAATCTTGTTCTAAACTTCAGGTATGATGAACATTATTAAAGCCTATATATTTCTACATATTCTATGCATTTTAAACACTTGTTACTGTTTTTTATTTAGAAACTTATTATGAGTTGGGCCAAAGATTTTGTTGATATTTTTGCTTTCTATTCTCCAAGTGATATGTGACTACCAAAACTTCATACGTGGTGCTATCATATAGTGCCTGCAATAAAGGAATATGATACAATAAATAGTCTTTCAACAGAAACTTATAAAACTTTATATAAGTATTATATAAAAAGTCCTTATCATATGACTAATAAAAAAAATTTTATGAAGCAGATTATTAAAACAGTAATTATTTACTAAATTAAATCAATTTTAATTGCTTCAAAAGTTAACAATAATATTGTATATATTTTAGGTTAAACAACAAAAATTAATAGAGAAAGATATAACTAGTAAATATTAAAAATTAGAAGGATATAAAAATCTTTTATGAAAATGTTACTTAGTAGATATAAATGACTTTATTGAAAATAATCATGGAAAATACATCAACTTCAAATCGACAGACTCCAAAAATTATTAAATGGTCTTGATGAATATTTTGAGGAATATTTTGAAAAAGAATCAACTTTTTCAAATGATGATCTAATTGAGATAATATTCCTCCGTTTTTGTTGAAAGCACAGATATTATATGTACTATGAAAAGTTTTTATGGAGAACTAATTTTTTCAAACATGTCAGTAAGTAGTACAGAAGAAGAAATTTGGTATGGTCAGGTAATAATAAATTTTGTATATTGTTAAGAATATTACTGTAAATAAGGTAAACTTATCTAATTAATTAAAATTGATTTAAAATAAGACTTTATTACTTTTTAAGTATTACAGATATGGAATAAAAGAACCGTATAGCCTCGTTCTAATTCATTGGTATGATACATTTGAAGAAAAATTATGGAGTGCTTTAAAGTAGAATTAATTGATCATTATAGTTGTATACTAGTAGAAAGTATAGATAAAACTGTTCATGTAATTCCAAGATTTGGTAAAATGAATGAATATTTAATAAACAACTATATGTTTTAGCTGTACAAAAAAATGTTACACAATTAAAAATTGTTCTATCATGTGATAAAAAATATTTACTATATAAATAGCAAATGTCCAAACAGATGAATTGCATATTATCTATTGACTATTTAAAGAACAATATTTATATGTGTGTTGGAATATCACAAGGTGGATTTTTTAGAAGCTTCAGTCACAAAGAGCTTGGTCAAGTAAATTTTAAACAAATGATTTAATTATGCATATAAGAACTACTTTACCATTGTATACTAACCAAAAGACCCAGGTCTAATACAAAACACACTAAAAAACTTAGAGTATCCTGTTTGATGATGGGTATATTGTATGTGGTACTTTGTGTGGTTATATGTATGTAATTTAGAATTCAATATATGATAATATGAAAATACTGTGCAAAATATTGGGATATTGCCCCAGTTTAACTCGGGTACGAAAAAAGGAGTACTTTGGTCAACATTACGGTAAAAAAATATATCTTTTATGAATAGCAATACACTATTATTAATTTTTCGAGGAAAAGCTTTTTTTTACTATAGGATTGCTAGAAATTAATTAAGATATTGTGAAGAAACTTTCTACATAATGAAAAATTATGAAGATAAATTATTAATATATTCAAATTCAATGACGTATAAGCAACAAACACCTAAGAATTTGTTTATTTAATGAACTCTGGTAACGATTTTCCATTATTTAATATTGTTTATTTATTTATTAAGGCATAACTTATGTTCATCTAATATTATACACAGTGAACGCTTAATTCTTAGCCAATATATTGGTAAAAGGAATGTAAATTTGTGGCAATAAAAAAAAGTTTGCAGCATTTTACCTTCTTGAGTTGATGTGAATTTTCCCAACAGCCCAGTTTTCTACTTATAGCTACCAGTAGTGTTGGACACATTATTAGATCTAATAATAAGGTTTACAATATTTAAAAGCTAACATATTGGTAGCTACGGTCTACCTCTGCATATTATTGACCTATCGGTTCTACCAATATCTATTGTTAAATATCGGTAATAAATGTGGCAGATTAAAATGAAATCGGATTAAAATGAAATTTTTCTGTTTTTTTAGGAAAATTTAAAATTTTTTGGGGGACATTTTTTAGGGATAGGGTTAGTGTTAGAGTTAGGGTTTAGAGTGAGTTTTATTAATAAAAGAGTATAAGTGGGTTTTATAAGCTTTAAAGATGAGCAAGAAAGGTCCCCAGTTTCATTTTAATCCGATTTCATTATGATCTGCCACAATAAATGCCTACCGGTAGCTACCAAGTCACATCACTATTTTTGAGTATTCATTTTTCTTTCGATTCCAAATGGAGGTTTGTACTAATTTTTTTTTTTTTGGTGTTTTACAAACTTGCCTTTAAAATATGTATGTGCATTTTCCATTACTCCAATTAATCGTCTATTTTCTATGCCACTTGTAACTTTAACTATCTTTCTGGTTGGTTAATAACTTTAGAATTCCTCTATAATTCTGTAATTTTGACTAATTTTTTTTTCTTTTTTTTTTATAGGGCTTAATAAGCCTTGGAGTTCTGCTAATATCCAACGTTTTTTGTTCTTGTATTATAACTGATAGATTTTTCATTTGGCATTTTTATATGTAAGTTATATATAATAGCTCTTTATAACAACCTTAAAAACAACAGACTACAGTGGGTTCCTGAGAAGCATAGTAAATCATTGAGCACACTTTTCAGATACAGTACCGTATAGCATTGCATACAGTACCACAGAGTTTTACTCAAGAGCTCTATTTTTTAAATTGAATGGTACTCATGGGTACTGTAGGAACCATGTGGGAATATATTATATGAAAGTAACACACTAATTTATTTATACTTCGGATGTTATTCAAGAATTAAGCCAGAGGAGAGTGAATAATGCTCGGGTCTTAATAAAGAAAAGTAGTATTTTAGGGTACTGAGTGCTGCTGAAAGAAGTGGGGCTTCGGTCTTTCAATTATTTGTATCGGACGTGATCTATCTATTTGTTAGGGACTGCGTCCAATACGAAATATAATCGAAAGATCGAAGTTCTATTTCTCTTAGCAGCACTAATATAGAGTTTATTGTATTATTTTATTACTTAATTAATCACTGGTTTATATATAAATTTTTTTAATACATATATTAATACAAATATCACATTCTTAATCTACCAACACTAGCATTAAGAGACCCTAATGCTTTTTGCTTGAAGTAGAGATTATCTA